ATAGCGTAGAATTTATCTTTCTGCAATTTATTTTCCGCATTCCTAACTCTTAAATGCATGAAAGAATGTATTAATAATAAAACCAATTCGTAGCTCACAAATAACATGTACAAAAACATTAACTGAAAAACAGCACACAAAGCACATGCCACTCCTTAGGGTACGCCTCACTGGTTGCCTCGAGGTGGTCATCAAGTATAAGGTGTCTTAGAGGTCGCCCTTATGTCCTAAAGATCCAGTTGCCTCGAAACAGTTGCCTCGAATAAAAGTATCTAGGACATTAGGGTTACTTCTAAGGTGTCCTACCATTGCTTCGGTGACCACACTGTCCCGATAATCGAATTGACCCGAACGCCTCCAACGATGGTGCTACCTACCTCTCAATGATGGGTTGGCACTATCTAAAGGACTCTTACACAGCTTAATTCCTTAGAGTAGGTAGATTCTCATGGGTACTTGCTCTTTTCAAAACAAATAAAACAACTTTTCGCACCTACACTTTCAAAAGTTTTCAAACAAATTTTTCATACACTCTTGAGGACAGATACAAGAGTTACCTAGAAATTTTTCAAACGAAACTTTTCCAAAACCCACACACACTTGAAAAGAAAACAAATTTTGAAAACATAAGAGCAAGTACCTAAGAGACCGTGGATAACCACGGATAGAAAGGGTGCTAACACCTTCCCTTTCTATAAATCTACCTCCCAAACCGAGAAACATTCTCGAATAAGGAATTTTGTTGTGCTTTTGTCCTTTCCATGTTGGAGAACATAAAAGACGGTGGCGACTCTTGCTTACCGCGACATTTCGCGAAACCAGCTTAAAAACAGTCAGTTCTATTCCCACCGGTCACAGTTGTAAAAGTAGATGCCTTAACATCTTCCTGCTGAGCTGAACATGTTTTTAGATTTCCTGTTTCCTGTTTTTAAGCGTGCCTTATTCAAGTTTTATGGTTTATAACTTGAAAAAAATATGGAGGAATATTTTTCGATATGTCTTATCTTTATTGATTATATCTTGGCCTACTTTCATGGAGATATTCAAGGGATTCAATATATTGCAATATTTGTTTTTCAGCCAAAGCTCATAAAGAAGTTGTTGCGCTTTTATAAGAACTTGCATCCATATTCGTAGAACTGCAATAATTGAAGAAAAATATACTTTGTGTGTTTTAGAAGTCTGAATCTTTTAATTGCAATACACTCTAGTATTGTTTCAATACTTGAGTTGTAATTTGAGTTATAAAATTTGGATCATCCATAAGCTTTTAAGTATTGAATGATTGAGGTTTTTCAAACTTAATAATTTTGTTTGTTTTTCACTATTAGTGATTGAAGGGATTTGAGGAGGGCCTCATATGTAGGTGTGTCTTAGGTAGAAGTATAGCAAAGGTAGTGATTAAGTTATTAGATCGTAAACTATTTGTTTTGTGAGGGTCTATGAATTGAAACTATTTAGTGGACTTGTCCCTGACTTGAGATTCTTGAGAGTCGTGCTGTAGAGATAATGGAGAAGCAAGAGGATTTATTTTCCTCTAGAACTCAGTCAGGGCTTAGTCATTCACTTCCCGACTATGGTGATTGGAAAGTGGTTGCCGACAGGTATGTAGAAGAGAATAAGCAGCTGAAGGCTCGGATTACAAGACTCACAGGAGAGCATCAGTGTCTGGAGTGATTTTCATCAGCTTTGCTTTCTTAGGCTTTTTAGGTTCTATCTTCTTTTTGAACTTGGGATTGTTGAAACTTATACTGAAAAGTTGTAATCCATTTTGAAGATTATTATAATGAGATTTTCAGTATTTCAAAATATGTTAGTACTTTAATATTTTCAAAATTGTCTATAATTCTTTTAGTCCCTTGAATTACTAATAAATCATGTGCATTGCATATCATGCATCATCTTATACATATTTCTTGCATTTCTTTTCATACACATGTGTTTTATTAAATTTATTTGCTTCGTTCAGCAAGTTGTCTCACCAGTATAATACTCGAGCTAATTCCAAGAAGAAAATGGAGAATCTTGAACAAGAGAATCGCGAGTTGCACCACGATGTCACTGCTCTGAAGGCTGGTATGGCTAATCTAACTGCTTTGATGGAATCACTAGTGGCTGCTTAGAATCAGCCACCACTTTCCCAGCTTCAACAAACAACATTTTCTTCTAAAGGTCCACTAGTTCCCATTTTTATTGTCCCATTTACTGTTGCTCAGAATCGTATGCCTCAGGGTTATCCATGGGGAATACCAGAAAACTTCATGCCATAGGGTTTTAATCTTAATGCTCTAGTTGTTCAAGTTGCTGCTACTCCTACACCTCTTGTGGTGCATATTACTCCTGTTGCTAGAATGAGATTCACTATGTTGCACCCCCTTCGATGAATGATGTACCAGTTGTTAATGATGATGCTTATCGTCATATTCCTCCTCCAAGTGAAATCTTGAGCTTCTATGACCGAATGGACGATTTTCAAGATCAGTTTGATAAGATGCAGAAAGAAATGAAGGCCCTCAGAGGAAAATAATTCTTTGGGCAGAACGTGAATGATCTGTGTTTGGTTCCAAATGTGAAAATACTTGTGAAGTTCAATGTACCAGAATTCGATAAGTACAAGGGCAATACTTGTCCTTGAGATCACCCTGTGATGTATGTGAGAAGGACATCTAATCACACTGATGATCAACGCCTGTTAATTCTCTTTTTTCAAGATAGTTTACTGGTGCTGCGTTGAAGTGGTATATGAGCTTTGATAGATCCAACCTCCATACTTTCAACGACTTGGGTGAAGCGCTTATTAGAAAATACAAGTATAATATGGACATGGAACCTGTGATCAACTGAGGGCGATGGTTCAGAAACACAAGGAGTCGTTTAAGGAATACGTACAGAGATGGCATGAGGTAGACGCCCAAGTGATTCCTCCAATGGAAGAGAAAGAGATGATGAATATTTTCCTGAAGAATCTAGGTGCCTTCTACTATGAAATAATGGTGGCGAGTGCACCAAGTGATTTTACCGAAATGGTGAGCATGGGTGTTCGTTTGGAAGAAGATGTGAGAGAGGGCCATTTGACAATAGGTGAAAATTCCGGCAGTACAAAGAAACCATCATACGAGTTTTCTAAGAAGAAAGAAGGGGATACAAATGTTGTTATTCAAGAGAGAAGGATTAATTCTCCTACGCGAAATCATCAGTGCCACCAACATGTTGCTTCGGTAATTCCAGTTGTCAATGTGGCTCCGACCATAGTTTCTTATCAAAGACCATCCCCTCAGAGAAATCAAGGGCAGAATCAGAAGAGAGAGCCTTTTTACTCTATCCCCATGAGTTATGCAAAATTACTCCCGGCGTTAATTCAGAAGAAGTTGGTTCAAACCAGACCACCCCCTGCTATACCATCACCTTTGTCTTGGTATTATAAAGCAGACCAGACATGCACTTTCCATCAGGGAGCACCAGGGCACAATGTTAAGAACTACTATCCTTTGAAATATGAAGTACAAAAGATGGTGAGATTTAGACTTCTATCCTTCAAAGATGTTGGCCCTAACGTGAAAGAATCCTTTGCCAAAAAATAGAGGAGAAAATTCAGTAAACATGGTTGCTGGCTGTCCATGGGACTTCCGGATTTTTTATATCAACCTGGTTAGAGGATATTTGGTAAAAATGCTTGTTGGCCTCTGCGAGTTTAGTTACTATACGCATGACCACACTGGTTGTGGTATTTCCAGTACAAATATACAAGGGTGTGATAATATAAAAGCTGATCTTCGGGAAATAATGGACGAAGGTCTCATTCATATAATCAGGCCTAGGGAAGAATACGAGGAAGATGGGAATATGGTCTTTGGATGTCTTAGATAATTCCAGATCTTTGACGTGAACCATATGAATGATGATTTTGTGCAGTTGTACGCTACTTTCTGTCACATGAATGGTTAAGTAGAACAACATTATGGGTCTTGCCGGATCTGCTGCAGAGATTCTCGTGGTTGTTCCATAGTGAGAAAGGGTGTTCAGTTGTTGTTGGACAATGGTACTATCAAGGTTTCAGGCCATAGAGATGATTACAATGATATTAATGTGATTGAAGATTGTTTGGTTGAGATTGTATCAGATGACAAGTATGCTTCTGCAGATGAATTCTTTTCCTCATATGAAGATGTGTTTTCCAGCGACGATCCTGTGATTTCGATGTATTCTTAAGAGGGGGTAAATGTAATTGTGTCTTGTTTCGGTGTTCCTGCCCCTATTCATATTGAATATCAAAGTAAGCCAGTTGTTTCTCTGTTTTTGATTTGCTTACCAGGGCCTGTTCCTTACGAATCAGACAAGGTTGTGCCATACAAATACAATGCTACAATTCTAGAGGATGGTGTAGAAGTCTCGATCCAACCATTGTCTGATGTCAAGAATATTTCTGAGGCCAGGCGAGTGACCCACAATGTCCGTGTTTTCGCACCTGTCATTCGAGGGATTATTAATGTTGATAAAAGGGTTGTTGAAAGTTTTGAACCTAAAAAAGTAGTGGGGAAATATAGTGGTACTACACTTGAAAAATACCTGGATGATATATTGAAGATTATCAAGATGAGCAACTATAGGATCATAGATCAATTGTTTTAGACACTATCTAAGATATCTATACTAGCCTTGATAATGAACTCTTCTGCCCACATGGAATCTTTTATGAGAGTATTGGATCAAGCTTTCATGGAAAGTGATATGCCGTTCACTACAAGAAAATTAGTGTTTAATGACACAAAAATTGCGACAGTTATGTGATAACTGTCGTAATTGACATATAGAGACAGTGTTTACGATAGTTGACACCAACCGTCCCTAATATTTATTTTGCGATGGTATAATTAACCATCATAATATTATTATTACGACGGCAAAACAACCGTCGGCCCCCATTTAACACTTTTAACATTGATTTTTCACCAACAATTAGTCACGACGGTAAAATTAACCGTCCTAAAAGGCATATCACGATGGTAAAGCACCCGTCGCACCCTTAAACCTTTCACGACGGTAAAATTATCCGTCCTAAAATTCATTTCACGACAGTAAAACAACCGTCGCACCCAAAACCTTTAAAAATTCTCATGGGCACGATGGTAAAACACCCGTCGCCGTAAAAAAGTTAAAAAGCTCTTAAAATACATAAAACATCAATTCACTTTCTACTCCTGCGTTCACTTTTTCTACTCACGAAGAAAATACAAGAATTCTCGACCTAAGGTTCGTGTGGGTCTTCTAAAGAAGAACCCTAATGTTTTGAAACCCGCTTTCACCATTCCTCCCAAACTGTTACAATCCCTTGCAGAAGACCCTAAATGGGATGAAAAAGGCAGCGTCGCACAAAACTACAATTCCTTCGGCGTCGTCAATGACCATAACTCCCTCACCGATTCTCTTCGAGCTCCTCCTTCTGTCTCCGATGACCCCAACGATTCCGGCAGTGACCTCGAAGAAGACGGTATTTTCTTGTATTTTAGTATCAGAAATTGTTTATATTTTTTTGAAATGCATGTAAATTTTATGAATTTTGTGGTGTAGATTTGAAATCGGCACTGGGAAAGAGAAGAAGAGATGGTAAAAGTGCACTATCTCTCTTCTAATAATGCATATTTGGAATATTATAAACTTGTGTCTATGATAGTTTCAATTAGCTGCTTTGAAAATGGTTTTAGTTAACCTATTCCACCTGGTTTTATAGAATTGTTTCTTATTGATTCTCCCTCTGTGTTGGCAGTGTAATAATGTTTTTGTCAGATATGTCTGGAAGAAAACCTTTATACAGGAAGTATGTGTTCTTTCGTACCTTTTTTTTTGCGATTTCACCTTCACTTCTACTTATTGGTTTTCAAGCCTGTTATATTCTGTGTTTTTGTAGAGCATTTGTTTTCTTTAGTTCACCTATTGCCAGAGAATTGGTGTTGGAGATTAAGAAAGATACACTGGTTTTGCCTCGCATTGGTGCATTAAGAGAGGTGAAGTTTTGTTTTTGTTTTTAAAATGTTTATGAACTCTATGTTAAATTGAATATTGTCGAAAACAATTTCATATGTTGCTTATTGTGATTTTTTTTTCTTTCACTGTGCATGGCAGATGAATTTAGAATATTTTGCCATCGACAGTCAGGTATGTGGTATGTGGTTGTAATTCATTTATCTTGCCTTCCACTCTTTACATCTTTGCTCATATGAATGAGATCACTCTCTTCCCTTTCATAGTTATATAAGCAGTATTAGAAATTTTCAAAACTTATTAAGTGTAGACATGCACCTAGTATTTGTCCACTTCCACATATACAATATTAATGTACATAGCCATTAGCTCAGGTCAACTATTTCAGTTATAATAACTTATTAGAATCTATTAGCTGTTGAAAAAACACGTCTGCAAAACATATACAAAGTTTGTTCTTCATATTCAAATTCCAGTATACTTTGAATAAATATTACAAACAATTATGCCTTTGACTGAATCTGCAAAATTAGAGACTTGTCGAGGATTTATAATGGAGTAATTTTCACGCAGTAAAAATGGAACAATCATGGAAATGGATCGAACGTCCAATGATTTGTGCAAATTGGATATTTTAATCATTCTTGTATTTTGTTCTAATAGCGTCTCTCTAAAAAAGTATAGTGTAGCTATACTTTTTAAGCTCAAAATTCATGAAATCGGCTTGTTGAGATTATTTCATTTAAGAAAATTTATTAACCTTCAAATATGCTCAGTAGGAAGTTTTTTAGTGTATTTTCTCATTCTTGTGATTATCTCGTTATTTTGTGTTGTCATTTTGTCTTGTTAATGCAGGGTTTCGTTACAAACAATGAGAGAGCTTTAGAGGAGCTATATGGGGACGAGGAGAACAATAAAAAAGCTGTTGCATGCTTGAATGTGATGGCTACTCGAGTTGCTTCTGTTTTTGCTTCATTAAGAGTATGTAGTCAATGCTCTTTGACTCTTTGCCGTAGGAATTTGAAAATTTTAATAGTTTCCCATAGTATGTCAATGTTCTAAATCATGTAATTTTCTCTAGGAATTTCCTTTTGTTCGATTTCATGCTGCCCGGTCACTAGATGCGAACACAATGACTACTCTTCATGATCTTATTCATACAAAGCTTGCTGCTGGTGTCTGGGACTCTCTTATGAAATATAAAAAAAGTATACCTAATTTTCCTCAGACTGAGACATGCGAGCTGCTTATCATTGATAGAACTATCGATCAGGTTTTTATCTCTATTTTCTTGCTCATGGGCTTGTAGATTATTTCAATAATCTGTATCATATTGCTTACAATGGGGGTTCTATTATGGATGTTATAGATTGCTCCTTTGATACACGAGTGGACTTATGATGCAATGTGCCATGATTTGTTGAATATGGAGGGAAATAAATATGTTCACGAGGTATTCCATAATTTCTCTTTTTTCCATCTAAAATTGTGCCCACTATATTAACACAAATCTACTTTTTCTCTAGATTCCTGGCAAGAATGGTGGTCAACCTGAGAGAAAAGAGGTTCTGTTGGAAGATCATGATCCTATATGGCTTGAACTTCGTTATGCACATATTGCCGATGTATGTTCAGATATTTTTTGTTTAGTATCTATTGTTTAGGCTTTAGGATCTACTATGTGAATCATGTCTACTTTTTGTTAGTTATGCAACCTGAATGCCTAGTGATTTTGATGGCCTTGCCAGGCTAGTGTACGGTTGCATGAGAAAATGACCAACTTCATTTCAAAGAATAAAGCTGCACAGATCCAACATGGTTTAAGGTGAGTAATAATTTTCTGGAAGTTTTTCATCAATGACATTGCAATCTGACAGGATTTTGATTCTGTACTCACTGTATTAATGATTCAATCATTATTGAAAATAACATTGTTGCCTAATTTGGAATGTTTCTATGACCTGAAAAATCATGACAGATTTTTTGTTTATGATATTTGATTGAGTCTGGATATGACGGAGAGAAACTCTTCTCTTTTGTGCACAATGTGCCAACTTTGCTGTTTATCTGTTTTCATTAAACATTTCAGCCACACCTCTAATACTAACCACCCTAGGCTGATATTTGGATGTTGTTTTCCTATGATGTTTGTGACACTTGAATATGTAGTAGACCAGTTTGAACTTTTTTATCTTCCCTCTAAAAGGAACCTCGGGCTCCTCTTCTAACATTATAAACAGAATTTCTGGGAGAAGTTCCTGTCATTTTCAAACATCCATTCATACATTCATCCTGGGGGTTGGCATTACAATATTGCCAAAAAAGGAACCTGGTGCTATAAAACTTTCACCATGGTAGCGTCAAAGGAAGGGTCAGATCTATCGTGTATTTGCAAGAGGCTGATTTCACGACTTGAATGGAGACCTTCTAGTCACAGAACTACATTTCCAAAGTAGTTTTAAAATTACCCTGAAAAGTAGTTTTATCTAACAATATAGATATGTATTGTGCATGGCTTACATGTATTATTTTAAATTTCATTTCTTTTACTGATATATTAACACTAGCACTATTTAGTTCTAGATTGTTTTACAAAAGTTATGAGTTCTTTATAATGAATCAATATTGGAGAGAAAATACAAAGTTGAAAAGTAAATAGGTCGATGATTAAGTGCCTATGAAGCATGTACAACTCTAGGAGTAGACGTGTCGCAGTGTCTGACATGTGTCAGTGTCCTGCACTTGTATGACACTCTTACGACACGTGTCAGACAAGTGTCCCCCAAAAAATGTGTTTTTCTTTGCTTCAACACTCTTTAATTTGATGTTTGAAATCCTTATGATACTCATACAATACATGTCGAAAAATAAAGACAAATGTTTCAAAAAGAATTTGTTTTTTGTTTTTTTCTTTGCTTCAACACACTTTAAATTTTTGTGGACAAATCACACACACATCTAAAAGGCTTAAATATGTATTGAGGAAATGTTATAAATGAAGAATTAAAGACATTAATTTTGATTAGAATATCTCTTTTAATAGTAGATAGATGAATGAAGCTCAAATATAAATCATATATGTAGCGGTGTTGGCGTCTTATATTTTTGACATTATTGGTGTAATAGTGTTTGTGTCGTGTCCCGTTGTCCGTGTTGGAGACTGTGTTTCATAGTCAAGTGCAACTAACTTTCTTTGAGTTATTTTTTATAATAGTAACTCATTTCTCTTGGAAATGTGTGTACTGTTTAACTTTATTTTTAACTGTCAAAACCAACTTTCCTAAAAGCTTTCAGTTGTTAGGTGAATGTTCAACGTTAGTTTTATGTATATTAATGCATCTCTTCATACAAAACGGCTTTGGGCTTAAAGTGTGGATAACGTTCAGAACCAACCTATCTAGTATTGACATTCAACTGTCATTCAGAAGAATGGGATGCCACATCAGGATTAAACTCTTAATCACTTGGTCACAGAGGTTCTAATCCCATGTCAAGCCCCATTTTCCTAAAAGTTAAAGTTGTTTCATGGATGTACAAGTTTGGTTTTATATATCTTTCTGTTGTTGTGTTAAACGGTCAAGTTCTTCCCCGACTTTAATACAAATCGGAGGCATGCATTTTTTATTATTGAAATAGTTTGGCCTTTTTTGATACTCAAGTCTAGATAGGTATTTGATGGTTATGTTCATTCATTCATCTAGTTAATACCTTAAACCCGACCCAATTTTGTGTTCCATTTATAGGGGTAGTGGTGAAATGTCAACAAGGGACTTACAGAAGATGGTTCAAGCACTTCCACAATACAGTGAACAAATCGACAAGCTCTCCCTCCATGTGGAGGTTAGTTCTTGATACCCGGAAAAATTATTTAATTGTTGTATGATATTCGTTGTAAATAATGTATTTTTTAAAATAATTATTATTAGTAATTTGTATTTGGCCCATTAGGTTAAACTAGTCTATATAAACAGATTAGTGCCTGTGCATTATTCGTTCATACCTGAAGTATATTACTCAGTTTTCTTAATATGGAAAAGAAGTGTTCTATCTTCACGTGGAAGCAAACCTGTCACACTGTTGTTTTAGATATAGGGATTTTAGAGAAAAAGGCAAGGGAAAGAATAGAGACTTCTAAAAGGAAAAAAAAAGCTGTAATACCTAGCAATACCACATTCTAATTATATTAGTTCCTTATTGCCACCATCTCCCTTTAAAAAGAAAGTTTTCTTTTTGTAATCTGTAGCAATATATATATTTTAGCTATATGTAGTTTAATTAGATCTACCTGTATTTTAGTTCCTTATTTTTCCATCTCCCTTTAAAAGGAAAAAATGGAAGGTGACACTGAATAATCGCCGTAGTGTCTTCTTACAGAGGGAATATTTTGTTGACAATAAAGAAAGGGAGGGATATAACACCCTTGATTCCCTAAGGCTTATTATAACATCAGCAACTTTACTTTAGAAGTTATAGCAGTTCTTAGTTACAAACTGCCATAAAACAAAACACAATTGCTTTTATCATTATTTTAACTACTGGATGACAGAACTATACTATGTATTGGGAAAGTTCTTTGTTCAAAATTTGATGAATTAACACAGGCAATCATATTCTTAACGCAAAGGGACAAGGCGAGGACAAAGGAAATTGAACTCTTAATGCAAATGCATAATTTTAGTGGAAGACAGGTATATTATTTTGACGCATTTAAAGTTAAATTTTATGAGTATTATTTTAAAGATTATTATTTTAATACCTTTTTTTAGGGATTGGAATCACCCGCTGATGGTAGACGTTCATCTGAGTCTAGCTACCGTATTGGAGATAATGGAACTTCAGGGGGGACAAATTAGACTTTGCTATGATCGAGATAATTAGATTGTGAACTTTCTCATGTATTTTTGGCATAATGATACTTATTATTATAAGATTAGGAATTGATATATTTTGGGTTTTTTGTACTACTTGACATGATTATGGAACTCGCATTTTACATGATTATGGAACACACATTTTTTTGGATATTATAATGCTTATTTGATGTTAAATATTTTTTATTGAAATTATTTTTACTATATTACAAAGTGATAGAAAATAAAACAAAAAATAATACTATAAATAAATATATTAAAGAAAAAAATAACACAAAAAAAACTATATTTAAAATTTTTTACATAGATAATAATTTAAATAAAATATATATATAATAGAAAAATAAAAAAAAATCAAGACATAAACAAAAGTCACGGCGACAGTACCGAACCGTCGTAATCAACAATTAAAAATAATCAACAAAAGTCATTACGGTATCGAACCGTCGCCATAAACAATTTAATCAATTTCAAAAGATATTCACGACAGTATCGAACCGTCGCCATCAATAATTAAAAGAAACTCAAAAGATAGTCACGACGGTATCAAATAGTCACCAATACTTGATTATGTCAGCTCCAAACCCGTCGTAAACTTGAACGACAGTTTTTGTAACCGTCGCGAAATAGGTTGGGGACACACACTTCTGCGACGGTAAAGCAACCGTCGTGGAAAGCAAATTGCGACGGTTTTAACCGTCGTAATCTACAAAAATACCTGTCGCAATCTGCCAATTTTCTTGTAGTGGTTGGACCAATTCAGCAGTGTGGTAGGGAATATTACATCCTGTAATAACCTAAGTTTCTGTGATGAAGAATTGCCCGACGAAGGAAGGAATCATAATCTGGCTCTTCATATCTCCATGAACTGTAAGAATGATTCATTTTCAAATGTGCGGATTGACAATAGGTCCTCTTTAAATGTAATACCAAGGAGCACATTGTTGAAGATGAAGTATCAAGCAACTCTCATGCGCCCAAGTGGCATTATTGTGAAGGCTTTTGATGGATCAAGGAAGTCTGTTATCGGGGAAGAAGATTTTCCTATTCATATAGGGCCACACCTTTTTCAGATTACTTTCCAGGTTATGGATATTGTGTCTGCTTACATCTGTTTACTGGGGCGACCGTGGATGCACGAGGCAGGGGCTATCAATTCGACTATGCACAAGAAGTTGATGTTTGTGCGTGAAGGAATGGTGGTCATCATAAATGGAGAACAAGTATTGATAATATCTCATTTATCCTCTTGCAGTGTTATGGAAGGGGATGAAGCTGATGTTGGAACCCAGTTCCAACCTTTATTCATTGATAATATAAGAGGAAATGAGAATTATATAGCTTCGTTTAAAGATGCTAAGCAGTAGTACGTAATGGCCATAGTAAGGTATGGGGGCAGATTGTTGATCCACCTCTAAAAAGGAATAGATCTGGTTTGGGATTCTTTGTGAATAATGGTAAAAGTTAGAATATGAAGCCAAAATCTTCTTTGAGAAAATACCAGGAAATATTTCATAGCAGAGGTTATCTTCATCCAACTGTTCCTATGATCAATGCCATTGTGGAAGACGAAGCGGAACAAGAGATGTCGAACTATATGACGCATGGAGTTAGAGTCCAAAATTGGATCACCATTGATGTTACCTCTTGCATTCATGTCTCAAAGTAATTTATTTTGGTTAATCTTTTCAAAAATCTTTTACTCTGCCCAAGGTGAAATTTGATATTGTATGGGCTTATCTATTTGCTTTGATCTTTAAAATCAATAATAAAAGTTGTCTTTGATTCCCAATTTGTGTCTTTATTTTCTAATTTTTCTTGGAAAATGGTAATAAAAAAACCTTTCAAAATAAACAAATAATTGTAATCTGCATAATCACTTGCTATATGTGTCAGTTTCTAAATGCAATCATAAATCACATGTGTAGATTAATTAAAAAACTCGTTTAATATAATGACCCTACACCCTCTCCCAACTTTGAATATCCTGTGTGTGGGGCCAAAGAAGAAGAATATGATGAGATTCCAGAGGAGGTTTCACAGTTTATTGAGCATGAGGAAAGTGCCATTCATCCATAAAAAAAGCCGTTGGAGACGATCAATATGGGTTCAGAGGAAGATCCAAAGGAAGTCAAGATTGGAGCAATGTTGTATCCCGATGTAAAGAGCATGATAATTGAATTGCTGAAAGAATATGTGGATATCTTTTCTTGGTAATACCAAGACATGCTTGGTTTGGATACGGATATTGTGGAACATCATTTGCCGCTAAAGCCAGAATGCCCGCCAATCAAGACGAAATTGCAAAGAACTCACCCTGATATGGAGGTGAAAATTAAAGAAGAAGTGTTAAAGAAGATTGATGCCGGTTTTCTTGTGACATTAGTGTACCCTCAGTGGATTGCCAATATTGTACCAGTATCAAAGAAAGACGGAAAAGTTCGCATGTGCGTTGGTTATAAAGATTTAAACAAAGCTAGTCCAAAATATGATTTTCCATTACCACATATTGATATGTTGATTGATAGTACAACAAAATTTAAAGTATTATCATTCAAGGATGGATTTTCTGGATATAATCAAATTAGAATGGCTCCTGAGGATATGGAAAAAAAACAACGTTTATCACACCCTGGGGAACATTCTGTTACAGAGTGATGTCCTTCGGGTTGAAGAATGCTGGTGTAACATACCATATGGCTATGACAATCCTATTCCATGATCTAATGCACAAGAAAATTGTGGTATATGTTGATGATATGATTTCTAAATCCCATAATCAAGAAGGGCATGTAAAAGATTTGTTGAAATTGTTTCAGCGTTTGAGGAAGTATCATCTCTTCTTGAATCCAATCAAATGCACCTTCGGTGTTCGATCAGGGAAATTGTTAGGTTTCATTGTCAGCCAAAAAGGAATTGAAGTTGATTCTGATAAAGTCAATGAAATTCAAGAAATTCCTGCGCCAAGGATTGAAAAACAAATTAGAGGTTTCCTTAGGCGTTTTAATTAAATTTCCAAACTTATCTCCCATATGACTATAACGTGTTAACCGATCTTTAAGTTGTTAAAAAAAGATCAAGGTTATGTGTGGACAAATGATTGTGAAAGGGCATTTTAAAGTATTAAAGAGTATATGCTTGAACCTACTATCTTGCTCCCTCCTATTGAAGGAAGATAATTGATTATGTATCTGACAGTTTTATATAATTTTATGGGATGTATTTTAGGACAACAAGATGAAACTGGGAAGAAGGAATATGCCATTTATTATCTCAGAAAATTACTAATTGTGAGTCAGGGTATTCTATGCTGGAAAAGACATGTTGTGCTTTGACCTGGGCGGAAAATTGATTGCGACAATATATGTTAAATCATACTACTTCGTTGATTTACAAAATGGATCCATTTAAGTATATTTTTGAGAAGCCCGCTCTCACTGGGAGAATTGCCCGCTGGTAGATGTTGTTACCTGAATATAATATTGAATATTGTACTCAGAAAGATATAAAAAGCAGTGTGTTGGCAGATTATCTCGATCACAAACCGGTTGATGATTATCAATTAATTAAATTTGATTTCCCTGATGAGGATGTGATGTTTCTGAAATCGAAAGATTATGATGAACAGTTACCTGAGGAAGGTCCTAGTCCTGAGTCCCGGTGGGTTATGGTATTTGATAGAGCTGTGAATGCTTATAGGAAAGTAATTGGCATTGTGATTATCACTCCTCATGGATCGCATATCCCTTTTACCGCAAGACTGACATTTGATGGTAGCAAAATATGGCAGAGTATGAAGCTTGCATCATGGATCTTGAGGAGGCCATTGATCTCAGAATCAAAGTTCTAGATGTGTATGGAGATTCAACTTTGGTAATAAGCCATATCAAAGGAGAATTAGATACTCGTCACATTGGCTTGATTCCTTACAAAGACTATGCTAGAATATTATTACCCTTCTTTAATAAATTTGAGTTCCAT